GGGAAATTCATGCAGGTAGGGGTCAAGCCCAATCCTGCATTTATTTAGCTTATCTCATTACCTGGCTCACACCTCCTAGCACTCTTAAAAGGCTGATTCTCAACCAGCGCCCTGGTTGAGAATCACCATTTTAGAGTATGATGCAGAAATATAAATAGCCTTTCAGTTACCTAGCCAGTCTATTTCTTAAAAATAAAATAAAATAAAGGATTGTGTTAATGGTCCCAACATAATTATTCATTCCTGGTTAGTAACCACCTCAAACAAGTCTTTCAAAACAGTTCAGTGCTCCACTTTGGAGAGCTTCTTATAAAATCATAGAAAATTAGAGTAGGAAGGAACGTCAGGAAGTCATTTAGTCCAACCCCCTGCTCAAAGCAGGACCATCCCCAACTAGATCATCCCAGCCAAGACTTTGTCTACCTGGGTCTTAAAAGCCTCCAAGGATGGAGATTCCACCACTTCTCTAGGTAACTCGTTCCAGTTTTGCTACCTTTCGAGAAAATTCTTCCTAATATTTAAACTCAACTTCTCTTGCTGCAACTTGAGCCCACTGCTCCTTGTTCTGTCATCTGCCACCACTGAAAACAGCCCAGCTCCAACCTCTTTCAAAACGCCCTTTAAGTAGTTAAAGGCTGCTATTAAATCCCCTCTCAGTCTTCTCTTTTCCAGACTAAATCAGCCCAGTTCCCTCAGCCTCTCTTCACAAGTCATGTGCCCCAGCCCCTTAACCATTTCTGTTGCCCTCCACTGGACTCTCTCCAATTTGTCCACATCCTTTCTGAAGTGGGGGGCCCAAAACTGGAAACAGTACTCCAGAAGTGGCCTCACCAGTGCAAAATAGAGGAGAATAATCACTTCCCTTGACCTGATGGCAATACTCCCACCAATGGAGCCCAGTATGCTGTTAGCCTTCCTGGCAAGAAGGGCACACTGTTGGCTCATATTCAGCTTACTGTCCACTGTAACCTCCAGGTCCTTTGCTGCAGAGCTGCTGCCCAGACAGTACCAATGCACGGGATTGTTCTGTCCCAAGTACAGAATTTTGCACTTGTCCTTGTTGAACCCCATGAGATTTCTTTTGGCCCAATCCTCCAATACGTCTAAGTCACTCTGAATCCTAGTCCTACCCACCAGTGTATCTACTATTTCCCCCAGCTTGATGTTATCTGAAAACTTCTTGACTCAAGTAGTAAGATCTTGTACTTTCTATATGTGTGGATGCTGAAAAAGATCACAAAGCTAGGCCTGAATATCTACTTGAACACTAAAAGCTCCAAAAAATAATTCAGCTGCTTAATTCTACAATGCACGGGCAACCACTTTCTAACATAGTACTCTTCTGCAACAGGAAGCCTGAAATTTTAAAGTTCCTCAAGTTCAGCCTTTGACAAATAAGTCACTTCAAAACATATACCAATCTAACATACTTTGGGTTATACTTGAAGACTGTACAGAAGTTTAAGTTTGAGAAGAACGCAGACACCAACTTGCTGAGCAAAACAGACCAAAGGAGAAAGATACTGCTTGTACTGACTTCCTGTTCACTTCAAGGTGCAACTCAACACATTCACCACCTCAAGATTACCATATTTTTTGCATATAACCTCCCCCTGGAGTATAATACACACCCTGTTTTTGAAAGGCAGAATGAATAAAACAATTTTTCCAGAAAATAGCAGGAGAGAGACAAGCAGCAGCTAGAAGCAGCAAAATTGCCCTATGAAAGGTTAGCCTGATTAGTGCAACATCTAGACCGTTAAAAGGAGAAACTATTTTAACACCCCTGAAGTAAAGAACAATGAGCTTTTAAGTCTATTGACTCCTACAGCTGCTTGAATAGTAACATCATAATCAGAAAAATCAGCTTCTCACTTAATATATATGCCACAACATTGGGGAGCTGATTTTTAGGGAAAAAGGTGCATGAGTGATTAGAAAAATATGGTATATGCCTCCAAGCCATGCTACTGTTGGCTAGAATACCATTATAACTCCAGATATGGGCGACAGAGAGATCTTGTTTAAGGGACCTTACACACTTGGATACTTATGTGTATACTTAGTTTGTACGCATACTATGAACAGATTACGAGCTAGACATGGGGTGGAGTAATTTATTCACCCAATAACATTTACCTAATGTTCCCCTCCCCAATGTTTTTATATATTCATGACCAATGAGCTACTTTATACAGAAATAGAAGGATTATTGTTCCAAGTTGTTCACTTACTCTACCTTCTAAAGGTAAAATATTTAACAAATTTAAAAAGAATTTTAAATTTCGCATACACACCAACTCACAAGCTCCCCAAATCTGCTTATCATAGAAGTATTTATTTTATTCTTTTTCTCATTTGAAGGTAATACGTTGCCCAAATTTAAGATCTGCTTATAGTTCTGAAAATGTCAGCATCCCACTTATAGACTTTAAAAATTAAAAACACAATTTTTTTTTTAATTAGATTGATAAAGACGTGATTAATATAAGGGTACTTTTTCATATTCCCAAGTGGTGATCATTGGAAGGAATCCCAAGAATTGTATTATCAAAGCACATTACATTTTTAATGTCCATCGCCCACCTATCTTTAATTTTTACAACAATTACACCACACTAGATCTATAGATGCTATGCCCTAATAAAGAGCTAGGTATTATTATTGAGCTACTCTTCACTACTGCATATATGTTCCTTGAAAAGTTTATAATCAAACTCCTATACCATGGAGGGCTGTTCTTGCAACACATTTATAAAAATAGTATTGCAAAAGTGCATTTTCTGCATGGGAAAAATGTTTTAGAATCAGCAACCTCACATGTGTTGTATATAATTATGTTTCTGGCTAACAGTCCAACAAAAAGAATTTTCAAATAAGCTTAGAAAAAAAATTTCAGCAGCTTAGTAACTTAAGTATACAAACCGCTGCACACACTAGTGTTATCAATGACCATGGGCTTTTCTTGGCTAGATCTCAGAGCTTTTAAGTGGTTTGGGCTAAATATCCTTACAAGTGTTATTCACTAGCTCAGGCTACATGTTCCTGGTCACCTTTTAAATAACCACTGCTTATATTTTTTATTTAATTACATTTTCCCTTTTTTTTTTT